TGAATCGGTAAGTTAGCAATTAACATTAAGTTTGCTAACTTTATCTGCAGCTCCTAAAAGCTTCAAGAAAGGCAAAAAGACTTTGTGAGGATTCTTTAGTTTTAGCTGACTGATGGGGAGTCCTAAATATATAACAATACATCAGTCAGTGTGTTATACAGTATGACAACGGTGGTCAAACACTCTGGGGTGAGAGCTCAAACCTGTAAGTTCCTGATATTTACAACATTATATGCAGCAAGTAACTTTCATTACATTACCTTCCTCACATATACAACCTATAGTCTGTGAACATGATGACAGATTCTCATCATCTCTCTTGCTTCTCAGTGAAATGATCAAACAAAGCAGATGAAGGACATATTCAGAGGTGACAGTCCTTGAAAAGTTTTCAAGCATTCAATGTACTTGCAATTAGGTAATAACTGAAAAGAACGGGAAGAACTGCTAAACTCAAAGTAACATTCAGCACCAAGCATCTAAGCTGTTTAGTTCAAAAAATAAACGACGCACACACCAAGAATTTTAGAAACATATGTACAGTTTATTCTGAATGTAAAAATAGCATTTCAGAGGACCGAGCTGTGGAAAAACTCATTACAGCATTTTGTAATGATCAGAATGGGGACAAAAGGAGCTTCTTATCCAGAATGCTTGACACGTTACAGTACAACAACTCATTAAAGATTTGATTTCATTCCCGTTAAGTCCACATACCGGACACAACCAGCCAACAAAGCCAATGACATTCATGGAAGCAGACAACCTGCAGCAGGTCTGAAATTCAAGAGTCATAACTGCAGACAATATTAAGGACGTATCCTTCTGTACAATCTGCATTCTGGTCTGTCTTCAGCTCCTTTCAGGCTCCTGAAATGAATGTTTACCACACACACCATTCGGTCGTCTCCAGATACGGGCTCATCACGCTGGTACAGTAACTACGCACAAACTAAATGGCTTTTTTCATAACACCAGCACAGAGTACAATTTTATTAAACGTTATTTAAAAAAACATCACTTTTATTCTTGGTAATAATTCTTGGTTTGATTTGATACTGATATGAATAAAAACAACAACCTTTTATTGGTGAGGCAAATTACAAAAATACACACTGATTTTGAAATTCCATGATCAGAAGAACCCAAACCGTGTCTACGTTTGCTTGACAGGAAAGTCGTGCGGTCAGTGATTTAAGGTAAAAGGTAACGGATGGAAACAAGTGACTACTAGACAGTGTTCAGTAATTCACCAGTACAACGTCCACATGTAAATGTTTGACAGGAAATTTTATGATTATCACAAGAAACCAACGGATTTATTTTCAGGGATTGTCGTTGATTGGAGCTGTTGCGTTTTCTACAACATCCGAGTCAGTTATATGAAATTATTGTGAGAGGACGACAACACTGCGGAGCGAGAGCATATAAAACCAAAACCTAAACATTTTAGATTTCTTTTTCTTTTCTTAAACCTTCACCTTTGGTTAAACTGACCCCCAGAGCCCTTAATCACAGTTCAGAAAATACGGCTGCCATAGAGTCAATATGGCAAATCTGGTGAGTTTATGAAAAGCTTATGACATCTGGAGAGAAGAAGAACTGCAGATGTCCAGTATCTTCTGGATGACGTCTACCTTTATGTTTCCTTCTAGAGCTCGACAGAGCTTCCCGATAGTACAGCCGATGCATCCCTCCTTCATCTTCCAGCGCTCGAGCATCTGGTGCACCATCTCCGGCAGGCCGTCCCGGTAGTAGTCGTGCTCTATGGTCTCTATTTCCACACCGCTCAGGCCCAGGCGTCGCGCACAGCGCTTCCATTTGGAGCCGATGTTATCCCTCAGCAGATCCAGGTGCTCCTCAGTCACAGCGTGGTCATCTGAAGGAGACGNATAAGAACACCTCCAGAGGCCTCACTTTTGCTGCGGGTTAATGAGGCCTGCAGAGGTTTACGCTCTACCTCAGCTAGCTTATCAATCCATAAAATTACCCCGTGTACCTTAAGCACTCTAATGAAACGGAAACAACTGTCAACCTGCCTCTAATCGTAGTTAGAATAAGAGAGTCTGAAGCTAATCTCAACACAGACAGACACATTTAGACGGTAGCAACTGCCTGGAAAATGCCAGGCTGCAGCAGAAATGGGCTGATATGTCCAGGGACTCTTTTTCAGAGGGAGGACCCTGTTCTCAATAACTTCACCACTGAGGAAAACCTACTTGTAGCTAGTTAGTGTCCTAGAAGAAGAATTCCTGCAAGATGCTCAGTCAAGAACCATCTTGACCCAATTTTGGACATATGGATGAGCTGTTATGACATGCAGGCTGCAGCCCACCTCTTACATCATTCAAACAAAACAGTCTTTCATCTGAAGTCAGTGTTTACCAGTCAAACGAGAAGACTCGCAAGGTGAGGGGGGAGCTTGTAGCATTTGTACTGCGGTGGATGCTCAAGGACAGGGCAGTAAACAGGGTCTCACAGTCATCAATGCGGCAACGGCTTCACCTATTTCTCAAGAAAAATTTTCAATTCAGGATGGACAATGAGGCTATTGTGGTCTCCATCTACCATCACTGGAAGGTTGGGCTTCCATCAGTTACACAAGCTGGCTCGCATGGAGTGACGCACGTCTTCTGGTTTTTGAAAGGGAAGCTTTCCGCTGAGCGAATCAGCGTTGGATGGAGCATTTCTTCGGCATCACACTCTGCTGTGTAGATTTGGTTTTGCTCGATTCCTCCGCGTTCAGAGAGGTCGCTACCTGTAGCAGGTCGAAGGTGTTATCACAGATTTAATTACGGCCAGACATTCAGAGCTGTCATAAAGGCCTCAGACTGATACCGACCAGTTTAGATGAGCTGCTGGGAAACGCTTTCACACCTTTGAACACCTTTGACTTCACATGTGGTGATATGAAACTATATATAAACTAGACGGTGGAGTCGGAGCTTGGAGGGGTGTTCACGTGTTGAAGCATCTCATAGTCAATCAGCAATTCATTAAATCATATCTGTGCCCAAATCAGCCAAATGCATGAGTAATAACATATGAACTCGCTCTGTTTCAACAGGGAACCGGTTTAACTCTGCTCACGGCTGTCTGCTCATTGCCTGTGCTTGGGTCTACGCCCTGCTGTTCGCCTGCTCCCCGCTGGCCCACTGGGGGGAGTACGGGCCGGAGCCTTACGGCACCGCCTGTTGCATCGACTGGCGCCTGTCCAACGAGCACTCCTCTGCTCGCTCTTACACCGTGGCGCTGTTCATCTTCTGCTACATCCTCCCATGCTGCGTGATTCTGGCGTCCTACACGGGCATCCTGGTCACAGTGCAGGCGTCCCGCAAGACCATGAAGCAACACTCGTTGAGGCAGACGCACATGAGCAGCATCCAGACCATCATCGTTAAGGTAACGTCAAAGTGTTTCCATACAATCACAGCACATGAGAGGATTTTTGGCAGATGCAGGATATACAGTACCCACCCACACACAAAAATGTTCATGTCTGTGATTACTTTTCTGTTTCCTTCTGCCAATCTGGGACCTAACCTCAAAACAAATGAAAGAAAAGGAAAACTGATAAGTGAGAAAGAAAAAAAAAAAACTTAGATTGTATAGCTATGTGGATAATGTGCTAATGGGAAGGCAGAGGGATCATGGCAAACATATTAAAGCACCTCCTTAGAGACGACGGTCCTTCAGAGACTTCCTCACGCCTCCATTTGTTGAAGAAATTGGCAGTGACCTCAATAGGTCCTCCCTGTGATGCGGCTCCTCATTAGCAGGCCCTGCTCGTCCTGTGATGGATGAGAAGCTACCGCTGCCTTTGCCGGTAGCTCATCACATACTCTTTTGTCATAAGAATGCTTTATACTCATTTTGAAGAGACACGAAAGTGTTGGATCTGAGGGGTCAAATCTTTCAGGTTAAGATAAATGCAGCAGCCATCTGGTGTTTTTTAAAAGATAAGCCAGATACTCCACTATTTATTGTCATTAAATCACACAAAAAGACAAAACCAGCTCTGAATTAATCACAAGTTTTCTGTAAAAACACAGTTAAAACTTGCATGAACTATAATATTGTTCCATAAACTACAACGCAGAGCTGTTTGGGGAGGCTACTTTGCCTTTTTTAAATGTTTGTATTGATGATCTGTTCTTGTTTTTCTACCAGCTAAGCGTAGCTGTCTGCATCGGTTTCTTCGCGGCATGGAGTCCGTACGCTGTGGTGTCCATGTGGGCTGCCTTTGGACACGTCGAAAACATCCCTCCTCTGGCTTTTGCCATGCCAGCCATGTTCGCCAAGTCCTCCACCATCTACAACCCAATCATCTACCTGATGCTGAGACCCAACTTCCGCAGGATAATGTGCAGGGACATAGGCACGCTATGCCACGCCTGTCTGAAGGGCTGCCTCTGCCGGCAGTGCTCGGCCGAGTGCTGCTCAAAGCGGAAGATCAGGGTCAGGCTGCGTGCGGTCCACAGGCAGACCAACCGGCTGCCTTCAGCCAACTCCTCCGCTCAGCCACCTGTTGTAAAGCTAAAGCATCACAGCTGTGAGAAGTGCAAGGATGCCTTTCAGTGCTTCAGCCACTACCCTCAAATGTGCGGCGTCACTAACCTGGCTGCCAGCGGAGATCTATCCAAGGATCAAGAGACGCCAGTTTCCCAAATACAAAAGCAGGAGGCGGAAAGTGTGTTCCCCAACAAGCCTCTGACGGCCACCATGGGCACAAAACGGACCTCAGAAGCAGACAACTTCCATATTAATTTAGAGATGGTGCCAGGGCAGGCTAAAGTGGCTTGGCCCTGATATTCTGTTGTTTGCAGAATATTTGAAGAGTTCATCTGCAAAAACAGATAACTCCATCCTTGTAGATTTTCATAAAAAATAACTTTTTTTGTTGTTGTTTGCTCGAAATAATATCAATCAAACTGAAGCTGAGTGGATTTGACTCAGTAGAAATGACAAAAATAGAGATAACTTAAGTTTGACTGATAATGTCTCAGGTAGACGATGGAAAAGTGGGTTTCCTGAAGGTTTGTGTAAATGGAGGAATCTGTTGTTGACAAATGAACTCTTCATTTTTTAACATTTGCAGGTTATGTTCTTTAAAATGTGCAATTACTTTATTTTTTTTTTATATTGCAGGAAACCTTGTTCAGGAATTAACAATATACTGCCTTAGTGTTTGGGCAGCAACCATGTAATGTATTTATGCATTTCTTCTGTTTGTTTCTTCTATCAATGCCAGATGTGCATTTCTTTGGCTGACTTGACAGAAGACAGAACGGCAGCTTTACCTGGAAGAGTGCATTTAATTTTCAGCTCCATTCATTTTTGAGTGGGTTGTCAAATACGTCTAATCTGCATAAACCTTAGGGTAGTTGTAAGTTTGCAATGTGTAAATATTACATTATTTTGATCATTATTATTTGCACTTATTGCATCTCTGAAGTTTCACTTTTTTCTTGCTTTTGAGGCTTGATTCATACAAACAAAAAAAAAAAAAACAAGTTCACCAGCCAACTGAATTAATTTCCCTGTGCAATGTATTCGTAGATCAGCTAAGATTCATTCCCCTTCATTCGTAGATGTTCTTCTTATTTTCAGCACGACTTAAATTTGCCTTAAAATATTCTACTGCCTCAAACAATCCCTGAAGCTCAAACTGGAAGGAAGTGTTCCCGGCTTTGTCAAGCTGAATGGAGGAAAACTAGGAGAATATTTAAAATGATTAATAATAGATTTGGAGCTTTAGAATGTTATTTCTGGGTTTTTGATTTTTCACAAAAAGCTCATAATATAATAATTGCATATTTCAGATGTTGAGCCTGTCACCCTTAAATTAAAGCTGGTATTCTGCACTTTTGGCAAATGCTGTGCAAATACTTGTGGGCCTATTAACTGCATATTATTATTTTAGCAGTCATTTGCTGCTAATATAGAGTCATTTACAACTCACTGCTATATTAGAGTCACATTTATTCTAATTTAATTCACTGTAAAATTAATAGAGCACTCTAATAGTCTTGAGTTTTGATGACTTTGTTGTGAAAGGGGTGTAACATGTATTCTGTGATTTGTAAAGTAAACGGACGATTCCAGAAACACACCCGTTTGTGTTCACGAGAACCGAAAACCGTTCAAAAAACACTTCCTTTGAAATGCCAGTCCAAGTATTGTTTACACTCGAAACCTGCAGGTATATATGGTTATAGACGGTGCTTCGTCAGCTGTGCATGAACACGCACCATGCATAAAACTAAGACTGCAATCAAGGTGCAGGTCCGTCAATATACGTCGCACAGATGTCAGTCGTCGCCATGTTGTGTACAATCGAATGCAATTTACTGCCAAACAATTCAACGTATGTTTATGTCGCTACCGCAGATGGAAAGAGAAGAAAGACAAACAGAACAAAAGAAAAACACAAGCCAAGTAACGCTTTTGTACATACTCACAGTTCGTGAATCGGTGTAGAAAAGCTATTACGTGAGTGTTGTCTGTAATTGTGTGTAAATCCATTTTGTAAAAGAAAAAAGTGACGACAATGGGGGATCTGTCCAATTACTCTGACAGCATCTCAAGCCGTTGTTGGAATTTCTCAGCCGGTCGCAGAAATGTTTCTTTTCAAATGTGATCCCAGGAGACTGCACTGATACGATCTAAAATAAAATCTTGATTTACGTTCCGTGTTTCTGATGCATAGTCAGTTCCTTTTGATGAATAAAAGCGCTTAATTAGATTTTGTCTGTCGATCCACAGGGTGCCATTTTAACATTGTCCTTTAATCTGATTAGTAAAATGGATGTAATTTCTGGAAAACCTTGATGTCCTAGAACCTCATCGTTAATCCGTCATGGAACGAAGGGATTAATT